GAGGGAGCGGCGCGGGCGCGGCGGGCCACGATGGATTTCCAGCAGCTGGCCGACGTTGCGGAGAAATGGTGCTCCAACACGCCCTTCGCGCTCATCGCCACCGAGGAGACCGAGCGCAGGATGGATTTCTACGCCGACCCCGGCGTCTCCTTCTACGGGTGGCCGCCGCGGCCGCGTCCCTGCGCCCTGCTCCCGCGCGGTGGCCAGGCTGGGCGCCGAGGCGGTGGGGGGCGTAACCGCCTCCTGGGATGGCACCGGGCCGGGCCGGGCCGGGCGCGGCCGTGGCCGTGTCAGCTCCCCGGGTGGGGCCGGGTGGGCGAGGGCAGGGTGCCCCGAGGATGCGGGCAGCCAGGCTGGGGCGGGAGGTGTGGCGTCCCCTGAGTCCTCCCCTTACGCCCTGCGGCTGCTGTTTCGGGGACGCCTTCCCGCGGCCCGTGCCCCGTGCGTGGTGCCTGGCTCCGAGCATCCCGAGGGTGTACCCTGCGCCGCACCAGCAGGGCGGAGGTTGTCCTCTCGCAGGATACGAAGTCTGGAGCTCCCTCATTCCTGGCGCCCGGTCCGGGTGAGGAATCCCGTTCCCCTCTTGGTGCGAAGACCCAACTCCGAACTGCCCCGCCCAGGAGAAGCCTGGACCCGGTCCCCGTGTGTTATTCCTGCGCTGCCTGTTTGGACACAAAGCCTGTGTCCACTCTGGCGGTGCCCGATCTCCTGGACCTTCTTTGCGGAATTACACTCCCGATCTTAAAATCGCACTCGCGCGTGCGCATACATCACACACACACACACACACACACACACACACACACACACACGCCTGTCCCCCTTGCCCTGGTTCATCCACTGCTCCTCGTTAGCTGCCAGCCGGGTGTGAGTGTGACTGTCCTCGCGGGTTGTGTCCGGCCCTGCCAAGCCCATCGGCTTTTCCAGATGAGGAGGGATCCCCCTCCAGAGCTCGGAGGGACTGGGAGCTGGAACTGCGGTGGCCCAGCCCTCGACTTGGCATCCTGAGCCCACTTGGGATCTCGGCGCAGGCGGGTTAGGGAGGATGCGGAGGGCAGGGGAGTTGGGTGAAAGACCGGGCGAGGGTGGCGCTCCGTAAGTGTTTGCAAGGACGGGAAATAAATAATGGTCCCCAAATGTAAGATGGAGGCGGCCGTGGGCGCGGGTTACCGTGTGGTCGCCGGCCTGAGCCTGGAGCTGGCGCTGCTGCGGACGGAGGTGGGGCGGCGCGGAGGCGCGGCTGGCGTGGGCTCCTCAGGTGGGGGAGACAAAGGCGCCGGCTGCGGCGCCCCACCACCCTGGGGAAGTTGGCGGAGTTAGGCTGCAGGGCCGCCCTCTTCGCCCTCTTCGGATCGGTGAGACTGGGCGGTGAAGTGAGCCCTCCCATCACCGCTCTCTCGCAGCGGGGAGGAACCGGGGAGGAACCCACCTGGGCGCAGCTGGGGGACTGTCCTCTAGAGGCTTAGCCCCAGGGAACGACCGATCGGAGTTCACTCCGTGACTAGTTACCCCCTGAACTCAGTTTCCACATCTCAAATGGGGATAATCCCAGCACTCAGGTGGTCATGTAGTTACAGCACCCCAGGCCCCCTGACACACAGCAAAGGCTCAGCAAATTTGACTGCGGAGATCTTGGGTTCCCGGAGTCGAGAGCTTATCTTTTTAAACAGCCTCAGTTTCCTCATCTGTAACATGGAGTTAATCAGAATGCCCCCATCCCAGGGTACTAGTAAAGAGCGAGGAAGCGGTTAATCCACATTAACTGTACCTAAAATAAATAAGTGTGATCATGGGAAAGAGAGGGCATTAACAAGGGCTCCACACCACTGGAGAAGTGTAAGGAAGTCCCAGGGTTCTAGTCAAAGGGTGGCAGGCCCAGCTGACTGAACGCTGGGGTTTGTGTAGGCTTCCTCCCTGTCATGTCCTTCCCCTTCCCCGCAGTGTGAAACAGGGCAGGGATCGTTCCTGGTTCTGGGTTTATAGGGGACAGTCCCACTCGGCCTTCTTGCTGGGACTGAGAAGAGCAGACCCAAAGAAATACTCCCAGGAGATCAAGTGGACAGAAGAAATCAGAAGGCCTGACTATTTATATCAAAGCATCATTTCCGAACGTTTCTCGCAAGCGTTTTACCAGGCCACGCAAATTTTAGAGACTTTCCACTAGTGTGAAGAAAACGCTTGACAGCATTCATTCACTGACAATTTAAATGAAACAGGTAAGGAAGGCAGGAGATGGAGGGAGGCGGGAATGACTCCTTGGAACTTTCTCAGAGTTTCTGGAGGCATAATGGATAAAATACCAACCACATGAGTTTTCTTAGCCAAACCTCATCTGCCATAGACCTTGTCTGGCTAGCTGTTATTTGCCTCTGAAATGCCCTACTCTGATTCCTTTTCTTTTCCCAGGAAAATCTGTTAAGTGTTAGAAGAAATTTGAGAGGATAGAATCATTATTTAAAGCATTGGTTAACAATGAAATTTATATAGCATTTCTTCACCGAGGAGAAAATATTTTCACATCATTCATTCATTCAACAAATGTTTATTGTGGGCTTACTCCTTGCTTGGGGCTACGTGTCCTGGCGCTCCTCAGCTGGGTTGGTGTCCCCAGCTGAGAAGCAGTGTGAGGAGCCCAGGACCTGGAGTCAGCCTACTTGAATTAGTGTCCTAGGCCCCCCCCTTTTTTTTTTCTTTTTTCAAAATGTATTTAATCATTCTTTTAATTTGACCAGAGGGAGACACCGAAAGAGAGGGAAAATGAGAAAGCAAGACACCAGGTCCAGGACTCAAACCCTGGTTGACCATGTGGGAGTGTCCAGCACTTTAAGCACCATGCCACCTGCTGGTTCCCTCAGCCCCGCTCTTCTGTGTGCCTGGGCAAGTTACTTAATGTTTTGTGCCGTTGTTTCCACATCTGTAGGCTCAGGGATGATAATATTGGGTCGTCGGAAAAGTCATGATGTATTTTTGCATTGACAAACACATCATGACTTTTCTGATGCCCCGATATCAGCACCTCTCTGGCTAGGGGGTTTGGGAACAGTGCCTCACTTACACCAAGTGCTCCGTAAATGTTAGCCTGTCTTCCTGTTTTTATCTCTGAATGTCACCACCACCCATCTAGCTGCTCATGTAAAATATCCAAGGGACAGTCTTTCTTTTTCTTTCTTTTTTTTGATAGAGGTTTTAGCTTTAGGGTGTATGTGCTTGCCAGTCAGAGAGAGAGAGACAGAGACAGAGGCAGTGAGAGAGAGAGGGAAAAATCACCTCCTGAGGGGATGGCCACGCCGCCATCTCTTCTTCATTCCCCTCTTGGGATCTTGGGCATGCCCGCACATGCGCCCAACTAGTGTTTCAAGCCTTCAGATGTGGGACTCGAACTGCAATTGGCTATGTGGGAGTCCAGCGACATAACTGCTGTGCCATCTGCTGGCCTTAAGGGACATTCTTAACTCCATTCTTTGCTGCTACCGGCATCCAATTCATCGGGATTCCGCCAATGTCACCCTCAAAATACATGCATTGCCCACCTGTTCTCCATCCCCATAACTGTCACACACATCTGAGCCACTGTCATTTTCGTCTTGCCTCCTGGTTTATGACCCCCACCCTAAGCCAGTCTCCACCCAGCTGTCACTTGGCACCCGTTTAACATACAACCCACTTCTATGGCTGATGGCTCATCCCTTTTATAATAAAACCTAATCCCTTGCCCTGGCCTCAAGCCCTCACATGCTCTGTCTTCCTGCCACAGTGGCCTTTCTCGTCCTCACATGCAAGCCCCTTCGTGCCTCAGTGCTGTGCTCACCGCCTGGAACACTCTCTTTTAAAAATAATTATTTTAACATTATTATCATCTTCCAATTTGACCAGAGAGAGACAGAGAGAGAGGGAAAGTGAGAAAGGAAGCCACCAGGTCCAGGACTTGAACCCTAGTTGGCCACATGGGAGTCCAGCACAGTGGCCTTTCTCGTCCTCACATGCAAGCCCCTTCGTGCCTCAGTGCTGTGCTCACCGCCTGGAACACTCTCTTTTAAAAATAATTATTTTAACATTATTATCATCTTCCAATTTGACCAGAGAGAGACAGAGAGAGAGGGAAAGTGAGAAAGGAAGCCACCAGGTCCAGGACTTGAACCCTAGTTGGCCACATGGGAGTCCAGCACCTTTAACCACCACACCATCTGCCAGCCCCTGCCTGGAACACTCTTGCCTCATATCGGTACATGACTGGCTCCTTTCTGCCATTCGGCCTGGGAGAAGCCTTCCTGAGCCCAGGCCCCCTCACCTCGCCCTCTGGTTACCACAGTACTCAGTACTCACTGCTGTCTCTGTTTTCTGCCTCCCCACTGGTCTTCAGTGCCACCAGAGCAAAGACATGGTCTCTGTTACCGCATTTGTGTGCTAGATAGTCTCAAGCAGAGTAAACTCTCAATAAATGTTTGTTGAATGAATGAATGATGTGAAAATACTGAGTTGAGCAAAGCTGAGTAAATGTCACTGTTATCCCAGCACTTGGAGCAGAGTCAGAATGTGATACCTGCTCAATATTTATTTGTAGGACTGAATGAATGGGTGAACAAGCTACAGTCTGGTTGAATTTCAGGAATTCAGCTTCAGAGAGCAGTAACAGTCGTAACTATCACGTGGGCTCAGTTGCTGTGGATCAGACAGTTCTGAGCACTGCGTGGGGAAGGACTCCGTGGCTCTGAGGGATCTCACAAGGTATTCTGTACAGTTGCCCCGTTTGGCACATGGGGAACCTGGAGCCTAGCAGATCGACTGCCTTTCCCACCGTTACATGATACAGCTGAGCTAGCCCAGTGGCCTAGTGGTTAAAGGAGCCAGGCCCCACATGGCCAACCGTGGTTCAAATCCTAGTCCCGGGGCCTTGAGAGACACCCCAGGTACATGTACATAGAAGCCCCAAATCCTGACAGGATGGAGAAATGGAGAAGGGATTGCAGATGATCACGCCCAACCCCCCCGCCACCCCCCACTTCTCTCTGGCCAGCATGCATGTCACGTCCTCTGGCAGTTAAAAACAGCTTGTAGTAGCTCTGTGTGGAATATATCTCTGTAGGAGTGACGCCAGGGGACCAACCCAGACTGCTCAGGAACGGCTTCCTGCTGGGCCTCACAAAAATTCTATGAGTT